GGGAACAAAGCATCGGAGAGAGGAGCAAGGGGCACAACTGGTCAGGGGCAGGAAGGACAGGTTGGGCATCAGGACAGGTATCAGGACAGGTAGGGCGGGCTCACCTAGAGCCACTGAATTACTTCAGAAAAATAGAAAAGAATCTGGCAGGTTTTAAGTTCTAGAATCTGATTTTAACGGGTAAAATAAATGCGACCCGCTCGATGTGAAATGGGCACCTGGTATGTAAATGACACAGGAAACTCTTTCCTCTGTGACAATAGCACGAGAATAGAATCCAAAGGGTAAATGCGAGGGTTTGTTGCCCTTGAACTGGCTATGACTGAACCTTCACCCAACTCTCCAGACCTCACGCTTGCCTTTGAGCTCTAGCAAAGCCATCTGGTTTGTGCTAAGGCTGTCCTCGGTGCTGGCCATTAGTCAGTCTGGCCCTTCCAACACTGCACAGTACATTACAGGAAGGCACTGTGGGTGCTCCTGGAAGGGAGTGAAACCCACAGACACCATCAACAACAAGCTCAGCCTCCAGGGACTGAGTGATGAGAATCAACACTTAAACACGGTGGGGCTTATCTCTCTACCTGAGACAAGGCACAGTTTTTCCAGAATACTATTCCACCCAGCACTGTCCCCCTCCTCCAGTGAGCTTTTCAACTTCAGCGTAACAGGGCACACCATGGCAGAACTTTGAGAGCTTAGAGATCAGTCCAAGATGCATACTGTCTTGTCCACGCTATAAGGAATCTAGATTAATGCAGAATTCAAAGTCAAAGATACCATGTAACACGCGCATGTTCCTCCAGACTGCAACTGACTCTTTCACTGCCGCTGCCTCTCTTACTCTCTTTATATAGATACACATACATGTTAGTTTATGTATTTATCTATACATACATATGCTTGCTAATTTATGTACATATATCTCTATATACATATATGTATATGTGTGTATATATGTATGAGGTATGTGTATATGAAACACGCATGTATGTGCATGTGTATATGTATATTAGATGTGCATATAAATTCACATATAAATATGCACATATGATATGTATTCATGCACACATCTATAAAGACTGTAAGAGAAGCAGGGAGAGACAGAATGTATACACACATACATAGACATAAATATATAGTACAATACAATTCAATTCAATTTTATTAAAGTCAACATTTAGACATCTGCCATGTGCTGGCCCTACCCTAGGCACTAGAACACAAAGTTATGTCACCAGCCTCAAGGTGACAAGACAAAGTGAAAGCCAGAATGCTCCATCTACCAGCACGGTGGCTGTTTATAACAGGAGGCAGCAGGGTTTGGTGGTTCTATAAGGAGAGTGGTCAGTTATGCGTGCTTGAGTCACACTGGCTGGGTTCAAGTCCCGGCTCCACCACTTTTGAAGCTGTGTGATGTCAAACATGCAACTCGAGCTGCAGGGGCCTCATCGGTAAAATAAACATGATGACAGTGCCTCTTCCTAGAGTGGCAAGACTTAAACGATAGAACAAGTGAAAGCACTCACACTTAATGCCACCCAGAAGGCTCGCAATAAAAGGGAACTGTCATTATTACTATTCCTATGATTATTATTATTAGAATTACTGAGAAGAAGATAAGATTCTGTATGGGGGCACAGAAGAGAGAAAGATCAATCTCACTTGGGGGTGTCAGGAGCAGCTTTGTGGAGGATGGTATGGAGTCGAAACTCTCATAATGACAGGTGTTTGTCAAGAGAACAAAAGGGAGAAAAGCATTCATATCAAAGATAAGAAAGAGTTTGTTCAAAGGCCCTGAGGCATGTAACGTCCTAGCATGTCCAGACATCTTCCAGCAGATCAGCACAACCAGAAGGTCACACAGAAGCCAGAGCCAGATCTCCACGGACCATAAAAAAGCTCCAGACAATGAAATAGCAAAATCAGATTTGCCTTTCAGAAGGTTTAGGGAACATTCAAATGAGTATTATTTCATCTTTCCAGGTTATCACGAATACTAGTACAATGCCACAAAACAGAGGAATTACTGTAATACACATGTCCTTTCCTCTGTTCCCAAATCTTCACAAGTTTTTTGTTTGTTTTAGTTTTAGTAACTAATTGGCTTATTTTTCCACGCTGATTAAGTTACTGCAGAAGGTTTTCTTTACCATTAATCTCTTCCAGAATGATTTTTTAAAATACCCATCTTCCTAATCACAAGGAGAATCTCAAGTGTTCACTTTTTCGCACTCATAAGAGCCACACGACAGCCATTTTCCTGCAAAGTACACAGACAGCAACTGCAGCTTCACGGGTCAGGACTTGGAGACGGTGCGGGGGCAGGGAGGCAGAGCCCAGATGGGTTAGAACTGAACGAGGAGAGAGATGACACCCCAGGAGGAAAGTCAGCGCAGGAGTAAACAACAGTCTATGGGAGCAGAAAGAAAGACAAAGAAGGTCACCAAAGAAGAGGGGAAAGAACACGTGTCGTGGCAGGAAAGGGACGGACAAAAACGACACAGGACAGAAATGCAAAGTGGATCTTTTAAGGGAAGTCAGGGACCAAAGAGGACCCTGGGGGGGAAGTTTAGGACAGTCAACTAAACTGTGTAGAGGACGTCCAGATCAGTTTGTTCGCTCGTCCTTCATGAAGCCAGCCTGTTAGTCAATTCTATTAATTCTCCTTTTTCAACTACATCCTGGGTACCTTCCACGTCAGCCTCTGAAGATTCAGACCTGGGTTAGTTTCTGGTCTCTTCCTCACTCGGTAGCTCAGCTGCTATCAGACTGAGAAAATAACTCAAGACCACAGAACAGCATACGGTGGCCACCATGAAGGGCCCACGACAGCAGGGAGAGAACTCACCACTACTGGGCACGTGATTAGCGCTGGGTCTTGTCCTAGGTGTGCTTACAAATGCAGTCTCATTTCATCTTCTTAACACTCCTTGGATAAAATCAACAGGCACCAACAATCTATGTTTCTGGCCCCAAGTTTTACTGTCCCATATTAGAGAAAACAGAAGCAGCAGGTGGGAAAGGGGTCATTAGACATGGAAAAGAAGCCGAGAACCCAAATTTCAGATGCTCTTCACTTTAGACACCCCCTCACTCCCATAATGGTAACCTTTGCATCTGGTTTAGATTTTTCATAAAACAAACATTGCTTTTCCCAGTTCACTTTTTCTCTTTAGTTGAACTCAGCATTGCCCTCCAATGTCCATGTGTTAATCCTGTCGTTCCTTGTCTGACGGACTCGCTAACACACTCTGTATGTACACGTGTGTTGTGTGTGCTCCAGTGCTGCTGGGTTCAATTCAGGCACAACCAGGGAGTGCCATCATCCCTGCAGGGTCTGTCAGTGCGTCCAATGCCAATTCTGGACAGAGTTGTCCTATCACTGTCACGAGACTGCCTCTTCATGTTGTAGTTGCTACAGCTTGGGGGTGCTGCCCACCAGTGGTATTTTGCTTGTTTTAAGTTGTTAAGTAAATAAATAAATAAATAATCATCTCCATTCATAATGTGGGACTCCACCTCAGCTCCTTTATGGTCAACTGAGAAATTCAAAGAGCATTATAGAGAGTTAAAGCAAGGATGAAAAACAGCAGGATCTCTATCAATCATTCTTTGTTCCTCAGACAATAGCTTTTCTCCTAAAAAAATCAAATCAATAAATTATTTATTGAACACCCCCAGGTACTATACATCCCATTGAACATTATAGGATTTCTTTTCATTACTGTCTTTTCTTCTTTCACATAGTTTAAGCGTTGATCGGGATACTTTAGCTGTTTTCTCTTTAAGCAATTTTATTATTATGAATGTCTTCAGAGGTTTTAACACTTCGATGCCTACACAAAGTTTTCTGTTTTGTTTGTTTTGGTTTGCTTTCTTCCTACTGCTATTTTCACCTAAAATATTCCCTTTCTTTTCTTACTCTGTGATTTTTAGGGAGAAAAAATAAATCTAGCATTTGGGGTCTGAGACCACTTAAAATGTCTGGGCTGGGGATTGCTAATGACCTCCCAGAGATAACCCAAAGTGCTGATTTAGCAAGGCCCATTCTTGACCTTGACGCAAGACGAGACAGGACTTGGGAGGGAACAGTGAAGGAAAAAGGATCATAGAAGTGCTCAGATCTCACCAAGCCCCCTCCCCCATTCAGCCAACACCTGGCTGAGTTGGAAAACATGACCAGCCCAACCTTCCTATTGGCACCAATTGAAGCTGTCAACTCTCGGCTTGTCACCAGGTGCACTGGGAGGCCCCGGGCAGCCACAAGAGCCCTAATTAGGCAGAAATGACACTTCTACAACTGACCTGCCAGGACCTTTGGCAAACCATTTAACATCATTAGTTAACATTTTTTAAAAGTGTGAATGTAAATGAACAGCCAGTGGCTTTCAATGGAGTTTGCCGGTGGCATCTCCCCCCTCCCGTCTCACTCTTTCTCTTTTTACATGAATAGTCCACTTGTTTTCTCCAGAATTGGAGGGAGGTGCTGAGGAAGGAGGAGGAAAAGGACCAGTCCTCTGAGAGGAGAGACATGTTAAAGCAGAAACAAGCTCAGAAGAGCAGAGAGACCCTCTCTTCTTGTCTTTGTATGGGTCCGAACAGAGACAATCTCCCAGGGCCACCAGAGCAGAGCAGGAATGCAGCATACAGGCTTGGCTGGCTGGCCTGATGCAAGGTCCCACTCCATGACCTGCACTTGTGAGTGGGGCCACAGACCATGCCAGGCTTTGGGCGAGTGGGGAACGATTTTGTTTCCTGACTCGGGCGCCTCTGAAATACTCTCTCAACTCTCTTACCACTTATCGGCATTCTGAGCAAGCAGTTTTTGCAGCAGTGGTTTAGCAAATATCTTACAGGTACATACATTTAAATGTCGCGGTTTTAAATGTACCTCATCCCTGCCAAAAGGAATGAACTTCTAGGGGTAATTATTTCAGATGCCAGTTTGATACTTACACAATTAGTTCATTTCCTACCTGAAGCGGTTACTTCCCACTTTGAACCACGCTTCATTTTGTTCTTTGCTTTACACCCACAGAATCCGTACACGCCAACACTCTCCATCTGTAGGAGGGGAAAGATTTCACTGTGAAAATGTCACTTTGCCTGTTTCCACATTACTCTTAAGTTGCATACTCATGCTGGATGACAGAAGAGGCAGTAGAGGGCAGAGGAGTGGCAAAGGTCTAGGTGGGCAGTGGAGGAGCTGGGTCCCTGGCAGGCCCTGCACTTACCACCTACTTGTCGTGTGGCCTTGGGCAAGGGGCTTAGCCCTGGGTCTCAGATGCTTTAATCTGTAAGACAGAGATAATGCCTTACTATGGACAAGTGAGAAAAAAATAGATGGCAATACCATGAAAACTGGAAAGTGTTGTGTAAACAAAAGGAGTTACGGACTATTAAGAGCTGCCAAAAGCAAGGAACCAAGCCAGGTGCCCATCTCCCATTTATCGTGGAGGGATGACATGGAGGACGTGTCCTCTTGTTTCCCAAGGCACGCTCGACAAAGCCACCACACCACCAGCACATCCCTGTCCTCCCCCTCCACTCTGCTTCTTCAAAAATATTACAAACACAAGTGCATGGTGCAAAACAAATTCCTAAAACCCATGGTTATATTAGCTATTCAGCCCAGCTGCTGGATCCTAAACAGCATGGGAGGGGAAGCATGTCTCGTCCATCCCTGGATTTCCAGCAGCCCTGCAAACAGCGGTGGGTACACAGTAGAGACACAGTAAATGTTGACCGAGTTGAAATGCAAGAACGCAGCTTCCAGATGTATGCTTACAGCAGCCGGAATGTGTGCTTTACAAAGGCAGCACAGATCCTAAACTTGGGGAGTTTCCTTGTCCCTGAGTTGAAGATTAGTAAAATCAAGCAGGTGGCATAGGGTGGAGAATGCCTGTAACTAGTCATGAGACAGAAGCAAAAGAAAACAATCTTAGTTTGGGGCAGAAGGAGTGAAAATACTGAAAAATGTCCTTAATAACAGTAAATGGGGAAGGGGAAAACTGCTCATCATGATGGAGCATTTAGTGCTTTTAAGCTAAATACCTCAGCATATTAAGCAAATAGAGAACAGCCAGCTAGAAGATGTCAGCGAATTGAACCGAGCAGTACTCAGAAAGCCGATAGGAGGTGTCTGGCTTTGACCCTTTCCCGTCACATGCCCAGTCCCAGCCTGGTTGTTTAGTGTTGCCTGTCCTCTCCAGCTGCGGAGCTTATTGAAAAGCTCTTGCTCCCTGCCTGGTTTTGGCACATTTTCTGCAGGTGCCTCCTACTGTGGCCACAATGGGCTGCCAGGGAGGTTTAGACCTGTCAACAGCTACAGGGGAGGGGGGTGGCAGTGTGGAGGGAGCACAGTCATTGTCTTAAAGGGCCAGTGACATTGTGTGCCACCGTGAAGCCTGCAGCACGGGCACCTGCTAATGAGATGAATCCTTTCTCCCACTCTTTCTCTCTTTAATGACTTAACTTGATCGCTTTGGTTCCTTTCTGGAAGGGGAATTGCTCCATTGATCATATAAAGTAATGGCCTGTAAAACATTGCTCTGCAACCACTACTTCCCTGGCTGAAAATGTCATAGCAATTGAAAAGCTCTTAGCCCAGTTCAAGAATGAGGTTGCTAAAGAGAACAGTCTTGTTCTCCTGCATACACCCCCAAGTACTTGTGTGTTCCTAGAGTTACAAGTTTTGGTGTGACTGGTGGATTTTTAAGACAGAGAATTTCTTTCTCGTGGTATGGTACAATTTTTGTGTGAGACTGTGGAAAACTAACCAAACATGTTTTTTTTTTTTTTTAAAAAAAAAGAACTCCCTCAACTCTAAAATTAGATATATTTGTTCAGAGAAAGAAATTATTTTCTTTATCACCCATGACATTTTCCCCCCAGAAGCCATGAATTGGGAGAGACACCCACATGGGTCCAGTGTGATTTAGAAGAGAGTCTTCATTTTTCCTCACAGAAGAAGAAAATGTCTCTGTTTAGGAGGTTGCAGGGGCTTTGGAAAGAGGATTTGATGCTCTAATTGTTTAGGATTTGCTGATTTTTCAGACCTGTCACTTGGCGGCGGCAGTGACCCACTGTGGGAACAGGGACCACACAGTTAAGGAGTTTTTGTAAACAGCTTTATTAAATAGTCATTGCCACACCAATGTGAGAGAGTAATTCACCTGGGGAAAAATCACTTTGGCGTAGGCATGATCCTGCCAGTGAAATAAACAGTTATTAGAAATAGTTTCATTTTCCTATGACAGGTGAAAGCCTATGTTTGTATCTAAATAAGAGAGACTTTTCAACTTAATTGGTGGGACAGTCACTTGCTACGTGTTGCAGCACTACCAATTTGGAACAAAGCCTCAGGTGAATCACCTGTCCTCAGGAGCAACCAGGGATATATTTTTTGTGTGTGGCTGATGAAGTAAGGGCAGTAGATGTGATTTTTGTACTTTTTTAAAAAGGCAAAAAGACCTGCCTGCTTGCTGACAAAACAAAGGGTATATAGAACTGAACTAAAGACCATTTACAACTACAAATCTGAAAAAGCCGTAGAACTCTTTACATCTAACCCCTCTGAAAGGTCATGGTACAAGTTCCCTACGTGCAGCACTTTTTTTTCTTGGAATTTAGGGATTTGAGATTTTAGATTTTAAAATATTTTTAAATCACCAGAATATACATGATATTTAGTTAGGACAATTACACATACTACACCAAAATATACTGCACATAATAAAAGGTATTTTTCCTTTATCTACCTATATAGTGAAGAGAATGCAAAAAGAGAAATTCTCTAAATTTAAGCCCATGAAATAAACTGATTCTTGGATATGAAGAATTATGTTGACAGCCTTTAGCCAGCAACTTAAAGTTTTTTCTATTAGCTTATATTGGAAGTTCTTATTTTTGTCTATAAAATGTGACATATAATTAGACATATAATTAGATAATTAACAGAGAAGTAAATAAAATATGGAATTAAATGATCCCAAAAGTTCTGCCTGACTCTGAGTCCTTTGTCTTAAAAAAATTTTCATATAATGAGAAATGGAAAAGTGAGCAAGAAATACAATCACACAGTTATTTCTGGCAGCTTTGCCTACAGAGAAGTAAATAAAATATGGAATTAAATGATCCCAAAAGTTCTGCCTGACTCTGAGTCCTTTGTCTTAAAAAAATTTTCATATAATGAGAAATGGAAAAGTGAGCAAGAAATACAATCACACAGTTATTTCTGGCAGCTTTGCCTATTAGGTAAGTGGTCAAGACAGAGCACAGCAGGTTGAGTTAAGCCCCTGCAGCCAAGAATAGGAGAGCCTGGACTATCAAGGATAGAAGCAGAGACCCCCTTCATAAAGACCCCTTTGCAGGAAGCCAGGCTGTGCAGGGAAGGGCCAGGAGGGTGGCATTCTGGGTGGGAGGGGACCAGGAAGGTGGCATTTTGGGTGGGAGGGGGTCGGGGGTGGATAGCCTGCTGCGGGTCCTCATGCCCTCTGCATGAACTCACAGAGTGAGAGTGTGCGTGGACAGTTTTAACACCATTTCACCGTATTTCTGGAGAGAAAAGGAAAACAAAAAAGGACATTCGAAGAGGACAAAAACAAGCCAAACAAGTTGGTCATCGGTGGCATGAATGTCCAATCTGACAGCAGTCGCCGGACTGGTTTCGCTTTTGCAATCCCCTCTTTGATGTATTTGTACATGATGCAAGAGGTTCGAGTAGAATTCCAAAGTTCAGAGATAACAAAATCATGCTTTATATCTTATTTCTCATATGCATCTCCATAGCACACTTTAAACCACCTGACTTCACAAGGTATCGTTCACCTTTGGTTAAGTTTCTTTGAACGTCATACTAAACAGGGTTTGTAAAGATACTGAGCATGCATTTAAAAATAAAAGAATGCATTTTAAAATGTTACATTATTCCTATGTCCACGCACACCTAACTGGTGAAATGTACACAGAGTGATGAGAATCACAGCCCAGCTAGTAGGTTGTTCTAAGTGACAATTGCTAACATTCTTCATAATTTGGATTCGTAAATTTACTTGTGTGGTGAGAGCCAGAGACACTTCAACCTGAGCATTTTGTTTACTTTGTAAATCCATGTATTTACATTTGTTACCAATACGTATTTTATCCACTACAAGTTAACAAAGAGAACTGTTAAGATCCTTCATACTTTCATAAAAAGCTAACATCAGGCTAATGGGTAGCAGTACCTGTTGAAATGCTTATATTCAATATAAAAGGCAGACATACGTTCCCATTAGGAAAATGTCACTATGAGCTCTGCTTTATAGCTCCTGAATTAATATAGAAACATTGGCTAAGGGAAGGAAAAGATTTTGCTATTTTATGCCTTTGCAGAATGCTCAAGATCATTCCAAATGCACATTTCAACTGGAGTGTTTATGATGAAGTCATACTTGCCTGAAGCTGGTCAGGCACAGACTTCAGTCCCCTCCGTGAAAAACCTTGCTCTGTTTTTTGTTTCCTGCTATTTTCTTAGAATTACATGCTGCAAAGTTTCCTTTCTTTCAAAAGTCAGAAAGCACTAAGTGGCCAAAGGAGTTTTCTCATACTCTTATTTTTCTCAGTTTGATACAGATCACAACCTCTTTCTGTCAATAATATCCTTCCAGAGTTATAGCTTATTTTTAAATATCCAGTTGAAATAGATGTGCTGAAGTGATCAACATAATATGACTGGCTCCAAAGGACTAGCTGCATATGTCTACTGTAAACAAACCCTAAAATCTTACCTACACATTTTGTCAAAAACAGATGAGCCAAGGGGGCATGAGGTATAGAATCCTAAAGCCTAAATGGAGTGCAAGGTGAGTCTACCATAAACGTAATAATCATAAGGACTGAGCCTGACGGGACAGCTGAGCCTCGACCCAGAGGGTACAGGCACGTGTGGGATGTGTCTGGATTACCAGCCAGGGGCTCGTTTCATTTCAAGGAGGATAGAGCTTTTTTCCATAGCATTAGGGCTTGAAAAAGATTGTGAAAAGTTCAAGGCATGTCCCTAGTGAGTTACAGTCAAGCCAAGAAACCATACACCGGGAAGGGAAAAACAGTTACTTTTAGTTAAAAAAAAAAAAGATGATTCTTTTTGTTCTTATAATAATAAATAATATTTGGAGATAAAGCCTATTGCAAATATAAATTTAAAAGTTCTCATAATTATGAATTCTTCATTTTGATTGCATCTCCTGTTTTTGCAGATTTATAATTATCTAAAAAAAAAAAAAAAAAGACCACTAATATTCCAACATTAGGT